AAAAAAAAAAAAAAAAAAGAAGGAAATGAATCCATTATGGAATGATAATGATTCTTTAATGACAGTTTCCCTCTATAGGCATACTGTAAGAAATATTCCTGAATTAGAATTAATTACAATTGGATTATAATTTTTTTAAAGATTTTATTTATTATTTATTTCACAGGCAAAGATCACAAGTAGGCAGAGAGGCAGGCAGAGAGAGAGGAAGGGAAACAGGCTCCCTGCTGAGCAGAGAGCCCAACTCAGGGCTTGATCCCAGGACCCTGGGATTATGACCTGAGCCGAAGGCAGAAGCTTTAACCCACTGAGCCACCCAGGTGCCCAATTTTTGAAGGTTATTTTACTGCTTCAGAATAACATGGTTTTAGGAAATACCCTTCTTCCAGGGTTTTTCATGGTGTATGTTTACTTCAAATTAATCCCTTTCTTGTAGTTAATAGGAAGCTAAAGATTCGGGGATGCCAGGTGGCTCAGTTGGTTGAGTGTCCAACTCTTGGTTTTGGCTCAGGTGGTCATCTTAGAGTTGTGGGATCGAGCCCTGCATTGGGCTCCAGGCTTAACGTGGAGTCCACTTAGGATTCTCTCTCCCTCCCACTCGTGTTCTCTCTCTCTCTCTCTCTCTCTGTCTCTGTCTCTAAAATAATAAATCTCTTTTGTTTTGTTTGTTTTTTAAGGATAAAGGTTGGTCCAAACCTTACAGTAATTTTAAAACTTGAGAATCTTAGGGGCACCTGGGTGGCTCAGTGGTTTAAGCTTCTGCCTTCAGCTCAGGTTGTGGTCTCAGGGTCCTGGGATGGAGCCCCACATCGGCCTGTCTGCTCGGCAGGGAGCCTGCTTCCCCCACCTCCCACCCCTCTGCCTGCCTCTCTGCCTGCTTGTGATCTCTGTCTGTCAAATAAATAAATAAAATCTTAAAAAAAAAAAACAAAAAAAAAAAACTTGAGAATCTTAGAATTGAGAGGGATTTTACAAGTCATCTAATTCAAACAAGAATAATATCTACAATTTCTCTAAATGGTCAGCTCTGCAAGACTCTGGCACCTAGGGGCGCCTGAGTGGCTCAGTGGGTTAAAGCCTCTGTCTTCAGCTCAGGTCATGATCCCAGAGTCCTGGGATCAAGCCCCACATCGGGCTCTCTGCTCGGCGGGGAGCCTGCTTCCCCCTGCTCTCTCTGCCTGACTCTGCCTACTTGTGATCTCTGTCTGTCAAATAAATAAATAAAATCTTAAAAAATGTATATTACACTGGGAAATAGAAACACTTCTGTGCACAGGCTGATTATTGTGCACATTTCTTCTTACATTGTGCTTTATATGTTACAAGGGTTTAAGGTGCCATTTCGTACCAGTTTGATTTGGCCTATAGTCACACTTCTCTTCTTCAAAGTCTTCCTGTTTTTTTTTAAATTTTATTTATTTAGTTGTCAGCGAGCACAGGTACTGGGCTGCAGGCAGAGGGAGAAGCAGACTCCCTGCTGAGCAAGGAGCCCGATGCAGGACTCAATTCCAGGACCCTGGGATCATGACCTGAGCCAAAGGCAGATGCTTAACTGACTGAGCCACCCAGGTGTCACTGGAAGTCTTTTCTTAAGCTCCAGCCAGTTGTGTGTTTCATTTTATTTTAGTCATTTTTTTTCTTTTTTGTGGTATAAAACACATAAAATTTACCATTGTAGCCATTTTTAAGTGTGCAGTTCAGCAGTATTAAGTATATTCACATTGTTGTGCAACAAGTTTCTAGAACTTCTTCAGGTATTGAGCATTTAATTTTTAAAATGTAATTGTAACCATATTTAAGTCTATTAAATTTTAGCTTGCTAGTTTTAGCCTAGTGTGGTATCTTTTCGAAACTTCAGTCATATCGTACTTGACTATTAGAGTGGTTATTACTCCCAAATGATAGACATTCGTAATTTGTATGAATTTCCCTTTTATGTCCTTATCTAAGTTTTAATTCAAAGGATTGATCAGGGAGCACCTGGGTGGCTCAGTGGGTTGTATCTGATTCTTGATTTCAGCTCAGGTCTTGATCTCAGGGTCATGAGTTCAAGCCCTGCAATGATGAAGCCTACTAGGAAGGAAGGGAGGGAGGGACAGAGAGAGAGAGAAAAAGGGAGAGAGAGGGAGGAAGAAAGAAAGGGGAAGAGAGAGAGTCCTGGGATCAAGCCCCACATTGGGCTTCCTGCTCAGTGGAGAGCCTGCTTCTCCCTGTTCCTCTGTCCGCTGCTCTGCCTACTAATGCTCTCTTTTTATCTGTCAAATAAATAAAATCTTTAAAAAAAAAAGAAAGAAAGAAAAAGAGAAAGACGTGTTTTGATAAAGCTGGCATGATTTATTCTTACTGTACATGGATTGGTTTCTAATGTTCACTATTTTTGTTTTTTTGTTTTTTTTAGATTTTTTATTTTATTTATTTATTTGACAGAGATCACAGGTAGGCAGAGAGGCAGGAAGAGAGAGGAAGGGAAGCAGGCTCCCAGCCGAGCAGAGAGCCCGATGTGGGGCTCGATCCCAGGACCCTGGGATCACGACCTGAGCCGAAGGCAGAGGTTTTAACCCACTGAGCCACCCAGGCGCCCCTATTTTTGTTCTTTTTAAAGAGGTTATAAACTATCAAGGATTTTGTTAATAAATTAAGGAGGGGTTGGCAAATTACAACATACTTTTGTAAAGCCTGTGAGTCAAGAGTGGCATTCATGTTTTGTTGTTGTTTTTAATTATTTTGGCAGTCTTTTTTTTTTTTTTTTTTGACAGAGAGATCACAAGTAGGCAGAGAGGCAGGCAGAGAGAGAGAAGAAAGCAGGCTCCCCGCTGAGCAGAGAGCCTGATGCTGGGCTCGATCCCAGGACCCTGGGATCATGACCTGAGCCGGAGGCAGAGGCTTTAACCCACTGAGCCACCCAGGCAACCCTTGGCAGTCATATTTTTAAGTCATTATTTTAAGCAAAGGAATATCATGAGGTGATAATTTTATGAAATTTATGTTTAATTTATAAGTAAAGTTTTATTAGGATACAACCAAGCTCATTCATTTATGCTTTGTCTATGATTGCTTTTATACTACTACTATAGCAAATAGTTATTGAATATTTAATTGAATAGTTAAAACAGAGATCAAATGTCTCTCAAAGTCTAAAATGGTTTTTGGGGGTGCCTGGGTAGCTCAGTGGATTAAAGCCTCTGCCTTCAGCTCAGTTCATGATCTCAGGGTCCTGGGATCAAGCCTCGAATTGGGCTCTCTGCTCCGTGGGGAGCCTGCTTCCTTCTCTCTCTCTGCCTGCCTTTCTGCCTACTTGTGATCTCTGTCTGTCAAGTAAATAAATAAAATCTTTAAAAAATTAAAATTAAATGTTTTTTTTTTTTTTTAAGATTTTATTTGAGAGAGTGAGTGGGAAGAGAGAGAAGCAGGCTTCCCGCTGTGCAGGGAGCCCAACACGGGGCTCAATCCCAGTATCCTGGGATCATGACCTGAGCCAAAGGCAGATGCTTAACCTACTGAGCCACCCAGGCGCCCCTCAAAGTCTAAATGTTTAGTACATAATTAGCCCTTTACAGAAAAAGTTTGCTGACTGCTACTATATAGATTGATGTCAACCTCTAATTTCCAGATTTTGTACTTTTCAAATCCTTTCTGAAACATGTTCTCTGTATTCAGATTTCTTCTTCTTTTTTTTATTTTGTTTTATTTCTTTGGCAGAGAGAGAGATCACAAGCAGGCAGAGAGGCAGGCAGGGTTGGAGAGGAGGGAAGCCTCTGAGCTACCCAGGCGCCCCCCTTAAAATCCTTTTAATTTATGAGAAAAGAATGACAGGTTTTCAAGAAATTATCCCATGTTTTTATGAGTTGTTTTGTTTTGTTTTTTAAATATTTTACTTATTTATTTGACAGCGATCACAAGTAGGCAGAGAAGCAGGCAGAGAGAGAGGGAAGCAGGCTCCCTGCTGAGCATAGACCCAGACGCAGGACTCGATCAGAGGACCCTGAGATCATGACCTGAGCTGAAGGGAACGGCTCAACCCACTGAGCCACCCAGACATCCCTTTTATGGGGTTTTTTTGTTTTTTGTTTTTACCTCCTGAATGTTTTCACTTAAATCATCCCTTCATTTCAAGTGAGCCAGTCATTCACCAAACCATCCACTCACCTCCCACTGCACTGTGCCACAATGGGCTGGGTTACAGGAAGACCAGCCCCTTGGGACCTCTGCTCTCAGAGTTCATGGTCTAATAAGAAACGTGTCCATATGGCCCTCAGAAAGAATGTTGTAATTAAGTTTCACCATAGTAAGTACCTCCCTTTGCCAGGGGCCATGGGAGTGGTAGGGCAGGCCACACAGAGCCAGCGTTTAAGGAGTTCCTGGCCCAGCGGAAGAGAGAGGAAGACACTGAAACAGAGGAATCCTAGGTTTTTGTGACATTCTTGGACCAGCAGCCACATTAACCTCGGGGTCCTTGGCCCACGTCTCTCTGGCAGGGGCTGGGCAGAGCCTCTGGAAGCTGAGTTATTCCAGGAGCAGTGAGAGAAACATTTGTGGGTGAAGGAGAAAGAAAAGAAGGTGAAAAACAGATGAGCTCTGGGGAGGGCAGGGGTGAGAGTCAGTCCGCAGGGTAGAGAAACTGCTGGTATGGTGGCTTGGTATGGGAGGAAAGACTAGTCAGTTTGAATACGAAAATGAAGGAAAACCCTCCAAACCTGTGTAGTCCCTCAAAACACAGTACAGGCTTGGTAAAACTTTTGTGCATTTTTTTATCATAGCAAATACAGAAAGGTACAAAGAAAATAAACATTTATTTATGACAGAATGACTATCAACATTTCGGCCATACATAATTTATTCAAATGGCTTGTTTCTGTGGAATCAGAGTTCGGCAGATGGATGGGCTTCCAAATGGGGAGAATGAATGTTGGAGTTTCCTTCAGCAATGTTATGTTTAAAAGTTGCCAACCTTCAAAGCAAATTTTATCTGATGCAAAATGGGTTTATTTGGGAATAACAGGAATTACGATTCAGGACCAGCGAGCTATAGCAAAAGCCGCAGGCAAGTGCAGAGAACGAAGGACAGGAATGCTCTTTTATAAAGGGAAGGGGGTAGTTGGGAAAGGCCGTTAAAACAAAAAGTCCAGTAAAGTAAACTGTGAGTTGGAAGTGTCGTGGCTTTTCATTGGCTTAGCTGTGACAGTCTTGCTTTGTGGGGGCCATTGCTGGACAAGGAGACACCTTTCTTTCTCTTGCTGGGGTAGTAACATGGGTTTCCTCCTGTTGAGAATACAAGGTACTAAGAAAAAAAAAAAAAGAATGCAAGGTACTTCACTTCACTTCTCTTCCTGATGGGTCTACAAAGTATGCAATCAGTGGTAGGATCTGAGGGCTCCCTTCTGGCCTCCCAACTCCATTTTATTTTATTTTATTTTACTTTAAGATTTTACTTATTTATAACAGAGATCGAGAGAGAGGGAACACAAGCAGGGGGAGCTGGAGAGGGAGAAGCAGACTCTCCACCAAGCAAGGAGCCAACCCTGTGTTGGGTTCCCTGCTCAGTAGGGAGTTGCTGCTCCCTCTCCAGCTCCTCCAGTTTGTGCGCTCTCTGTCTCTCTGTCAAATAAATAAAATATATATATATATATATTTTTAAAGGTTTTATTTATTTGACAGACAGAGATCACAAGTAGGCAGAGAGTCAGGCAAAGAGAGAGAGAAGCAGGCTCCCCGCCGAGCAAAGAGCCCGATGCGGGGCTCGATCCCAGGACCCTGAGATCATGACCCGAGCCGAAGGCAGTGGCTTAATCCACTGAGCCACCCAGGCGCCCCTAAAATATATTTTTTAAAGATTTTATTTATTTATTTGACAGAGCTCACAAGTAGGCAGAGAGGCAGTCAGAGAAGGGAGGGGTGGAAGCAGGCTCCCTGCTGAGCAGAGAGCCCGAAATGGGGCTCGATCCCAGGACCCTGAGATCATGACCTGAGCCAAAGGCATAGGCTTAACCCACTGAGCCACCCAGGTGCCCCAAATAAAATATTTTTTAAAAATAAGTAAATAAAATGATGTCTGCAGGTTTCTCAGTGGCAAAGTTACCGTTTTATACTTTGAAATTAACAAGTATTCTGTGGTGAGATACTTGGCTTGGGACTATGTAAGTTAAATAGCCATCACTTAACTGGCAATCAGTGGTAGGATCTGAGGGCTCCCCTCAGATCTGTCCCATAGAATTTTGTGTGATAATGGAAATACTCTATGATCAGCACTTCCAGTATGGTAATCACTAGCCACATGTGGCTGCCAAATGCTTGAAATGTGTGTAGTGCAACGGAGAAGCTCAAACTGAGTTTTTATTTAATTTTAATTAGCAGAAATTTAAGTGTTCTGTAGCATATACCTAATGACCACAGTATTAGCATTTCAGCCTTATATTGTTTTTAGCATCCAATCCTGACTTTTTCCTGAGTCAGTTTTTATGATGGTGGCCAAATGGTGATCAGTTTCTAATTCCATCATTGTACACATTTTAGTTGGCTTTCTACTCTAAGGAAGTTTTCCTTCTCCCCCATTTATGAGTTGATGTAACGTATATGTTTACATTTGTCTTTACACATATCCGAATTTGGGGGCCAGTTCACATGTTTTACAGATGCTACACAGGTTTGCATTTTATAGAATACGTTTGTATGTGATCTTACTACTTTATTTTTACTTTTTTGAGAGAGAGAGGGAGATCATGAGGGTATGGGGTGGAGGAAGAGGGAGAGGGAGAATCTTAAGCAGGCTCCACACCCAGCATGAGCCCAGTGCAGGGCTTGATGTCACAACCGCAAGATCATGACTTGAGCCAAAATCAGCAGTTGGTCGCTTAGCCAACTGAGCCATGCAGGCAGCCCCTTATTAAAATTTTTATAAAAATTGCTATAACTTACCATTTTAGTCATTAAAATATACATTATATTAATTATATATGTAATATAGTACACATATTTTAATGGCCAAAGGAGAGTGATAAGAGCCTATCTTACTGTCAGGAATGTTCAGGGACACCTGGGTGGCTCGGTTGAATGTCTGACTCTTGGTTTTGGCTCAGGTCATGATCTCAGGTCAATGGCATCGAACCCCATGTGGGGCTCTGTGCTCAGCAGGGACTCTGAGATTCTCTCCCTCTGCCCCTCTCCCTGCTATCTCTCTAAATAAATATCAGTAGTTTAACTTGGACACACAGAGCATATTTTATCTCTCATTAGATCATGCCAGGCAATTCAAAACAATAATATTGGTCTAGATGGAAAATTACTGAAGAATCTGGTATGTGGAAAAATTGTACATGAAACAAAGTATTTAGTTTTATGTCTTTAAACAGTTATTTTTGGGGGTGTCTGGGTAGCTCAGTCATTGGACATCTGCCTTCGGCTCAGGTCATGATCCCAGGATCCTGGGATCGAGCCCCGCATTGGGGGGGGGGTCCCTGCTCATGGGAAGCCTGCTTCTCTCTCTCCCCCTCCCCCTGCTTGCAATCCCCTCTCTCTCTCTCTCTCAAATAAATAAATAAAATCTTTTATAAAAATCTTTTATAAAAATAAAATCTTTTTAAAAAAGTAGTTACTTCTGTGTAATGAGTAGCTTGTTACCAAAATTCTGTTGCCTTAATAAATTTAAAGTTACGTGATTTCTAGTGCTGTATATTTTTTCAGTACAATTCTTCCAAGCTCTTTGAGCTTCATAATTTATTCTCCCTTCCCTTGTAGGGTAACCTACAGTTGCTGCAGAACTGCTTGGCAGTGTTAAATGGAGACACATAAGCCACACTCCACCTTCAGTTAAAAAGGGCTGCCTTCCTTCAGATTTTATTTTTGTTTTCTTAATGATATTAAGCATTTACTGCTCACTGGAAACAAAAGAAACAGCTGACAAAGTGCATCTACTCTCCTTTTTTCTGAGAAACCACGGAGCGGTGCCGTCCATGGGCTCTGCCAGTGTGTGCGGTGGGATGCAGCACCCCTGCACCTGTATGCTCCCTGCGACAGCTGTCCCTCACCGTGCGCGCCTCCTCTCCCGAAGCCCAAAGTTCAGTCTTGTTTTAAGTAGCCTCTGTAACTGTGTTTATTTTATGAATAGTATTCCTTATGGCTGCCAGTCTTACTTACTTTTAAGTACTTTCTGAAGTTTAACCCTTTTAAAAATACATTGCTGAAATGAGATAAAGATTGCCATTACCTTTTTTTGAATTTTGTTTTTAAAAAACATTGTATACCACCTTAGTTCATTCATGTATCCTGGTAAAGCATCTTAATCAGACTTATTTTTAATTAATGAACATTTCTTAGAAGTTTGGGGACAGATTTTATGTAATCTTTATAAGTATGATTTCTGATGAAAAGCAAATGCATTAGTATGTTTGCCTTAAACTTGTAGAATAAACCAACTATTATCAAATAAACAGTGATAACAGTGATAGTTTTTAACTCTGTGGTCATTGTATCACTCTAAAATTTGGAGTAGCTATAATAAATCTACTCCTTTATTACGCTTTACAGTGTAGGTCTTTGTTTTTCGTTTTTCTTTTTTTAAACAGCATATTGAACCAAGTTCACCAGTCCCTTTACAAAAGAATGAACTGCTTCTCTGTGTGCGTTTAGCCTTTCATAGAATCTGGACCTGGGCAGAGGCAGGTTAGAAGCAGACATTTCTAAAATACAGGAGCAGACAGAATGGTCTGTTACGGTTTCCTGACATCCATCTCTAGCTCAGCCAGTGAACCATGGGATGTGCCATTGAGCCCACTCGATTGTTACGCTGGTGTATAACTTGGTGTGTGGAGAGAAAGAGTGTGTAGAGAATAGCATTTGTCGGTGGGGGAGAAATTGGAATATTTGAAATAAAGTGGGTACAAAAAATATTATTGGCCTTTTTAATGTAAGTTAACATCACGTTATTTCTAATTTAAAATTAGGTTGTATGGTTTGATTTTTTCACTAAGTTCTCTTACAGTTGGAAACCACAGGTATTTGGGTTGGTCACGCCTCGTTTACATTTTCCCAAACCCTGGTCTAGGTCTTAAAAGAGTAGTCACCGTGATTCCAGCCTTGCATGTTCTTTTGCCTTACTGGTGTGCTGGTTAATGTTTCTTTCATTGATGTTGTTCCCTGATGCCATTTGAACTTGATTTTTCTGTTGCCTGAGAAATCTCTGTGTCTTGTCCTCCTCCGTGTCTCCTTCACTGGTGAAAATACGCCTATGTGACCCTCTCCAGTGGGTGAACATGGGACAGAGAGCCCTAGCTTCTAAATTTGGGTGCAGTCCCTTCACTGGCTGCCCCTGTGGCCTCAGGCAGGTTCGCTTGACCTCTGTCTGCCTCAGTTTCTCTACTACAAAGGACATATTGACCTACCTCACAGGGGTGTTGTGAGGATTAATAAACATTGGTACAGTGCTTTGGAAATGTGATGATGCTGTGTAAATGCTAAGAAATAGTAAGTACACGGGCGCCTGGGGGGCTCAGTTGGCTGAGCATCTGCGTTTGGCTCAGGTCGTGGTTCCGGGGTCCTGGAATGAAGCCTCACATCCGGACTCCCTGCTCATTGGGGAACCTGCTTCTCCCTCTTCCCGCCCCCTGCTTGTGCTCTCTCCCTCACTCTCTCTCTCAAGTAAATGAATAAAATATTTTTTAAAAAATTGAAAGAAATAGCAAGTGCAGGGCATAAAGCTGTATTGTTCCACATAGCCATCAGCTAATCTGTACCAAGGAGGTCTTTTGCGGAAAAGGGGTAGGAGAGTGCCCCCATCCCTTGGTGCCTGGTTTACATTTTTACATTTTCACAATGTGTGTTGGGGCGGGGGTAGACTAGAAGCAGCAGTTACATATTAGAGCATATGTGGGAGGGTGCTTAATGAACACATGTAAATGAGTTGACTGCTCTATGCAAGGGCCTTCTCACAAAGCACAAGATGAACACGTTACTCCCTCAAGGACATACTTTAGGAGAGGTTCTACTTTGTACCTCCAGAACAATTGAAACATTCCATAGTTCACTGCTAGTTCCTGATAATTGCCCTGGTTTCACTGCTCTTGTGCTGTGGCATTCATTAAACATTTATTGGCTGTTGTGCCTGGGGGACACAAAGGACAAACAGAAGGACGCCCAGGAGCACAGACAAAGCCCTACAAGGGTAGTACAGTGTCTGCCACAGGGGACACTTTATGCTCTGAGAGGAAGAGAGCAATCTAGGCAGTGGGAATGACCCAGGGTGTGAACGGGCTGGGCAGGGAATGAAGGTTGTGGGGTATTTGCAGTGAGGGTGAGATGGCAAGAGAGGAAATTGCAAAAGAAAGTGGGTCACGGCAATTGCACTACTGGGTATTTGTCCCAAAGATACAAATGTAGTGATCCAAAGGGGCACCTGCACCCCGTTTATAGCAGCAATGCCCATAATAAACTATGGAAAGATCTAGGTGTCAAGTGGATAAAGATGATGTGGTATGTACACACACACACACACACAGGAATATTACACAAAAATCAAAAAGTGAAATCTTGGGGCTCCTTCGTGGCTCAGTGGGTTAAAGCCTCTGCCTTTGACTCAGGTCATGATCCCAGGGTCCTGGCATTGAGCCCCGCATGGGGCTCTCTGCTAGCAGGGAGCCTGCTTCCTCCTCCCTCTCGCTCTCTGCCTGCCTCTCTGCCTACTTGTGATATCTGTCAAATAAAATCTTTAGTAAATAAATAAATGAAATCTTGCTATTTGCAACATGGACAGAACTAGAGGGTGTTATGCTAAGTGAAATAAGTCAGTTCAGAGAAAGACAATTATATGATGTCACTGATACCTGGAATTTAAGAAACAAAACAGGATCATAGAGGAAGAGAGGAAAAAATAAAACAAGATGAAACCAGAGAGACAAACAAAAAGAGACTTAATCATAGGAAGCAAATTGAGGGTTGCTGGAAAGGAGGGTGGCGGGATGGGGTAACTGGAGGTTGGACATAGGAGGGCATGTGATGTAATGAGCGCTGGCTATTACATAGACTGATGAAGTACAGACTTGTACCTCTGAAACCAATAATGCATTATATGTTAGTTGAATTAAAATTTTGAAAGGAAGAAAAAGAGGGTCAGGCCCAGTAAGGCTTATAGACTGGGCTAGATGTCTGCACCTGGTTTGGAAAAGCTTATACAATATTAATGTTCTGTAGCAAAACTATGGAAGTTGAGCTCAAGCTGATATTTTTGGAGAGAGGCACTACAGGTTAAACAGTTTAAAGTATTAGTAAGACAAGTCTGGCTGGTTTAAGAGGAAAACTGCTTTAGCGGAATTAGAGTGGTTCAAGGCCTTATGAATAACACCCAAGCAGGGGCGTCCGCGTGGCTTAGTGGGCTAAAGCCAATGCCTTTAGCTCAGGTCATGATCCCAGGGTCCTGGAATCGAGCCCCATATCGGCTCTCTGCTCAGCAGGGAGCCTGCTTCCCCCTCTGTCTGCCTCTCTGCCTACTTGTGATCTCTCTCTCTGTCAAATAAATAAATAGAATCTTAAAAAGAAAGAAAAAAATCCACCAAGCAACACTGAACTTGCACACCATCTCTGTATGGAACTACCTGAGACAGATGGTACACCTACCTCAACTCCACACACAAAAAACGGATTTCAATACTGCGACATATCTTCGGTTGTATAAACAACTTAAAACTTCGTTTCAGACTTTCCAAACTAAAATCCACGGTCAGAAAGTATTTATAGGGGCGCCTGGGTGGCTCAATGTGTTAAAACCTCTGCCTGCCTTCGGTTCAAGTCATGATCCCAGGGTCCTGGGATTGAACCCCGCATTGGGCTTCTCTGCTTAGCGGGGAGCCTGCTTCCCCTTCTCTTTCTTTGCTTGCCTCTCTGCCTATTTGTGATCTGTCAAATAAATAAAATCTTTAAAAAAAAAAAAGAAAAAGCATTTATAAACTCCTAAGTTCAGAACTCCTACTCACACTTAAAAGTAAAGCCAAAACTCAAAAGCACAAGCATGTTTATTTGTGTGCTTTTTGTTTTGAAGACTCTGCTGACACATTGGACAGAGACACACACACAAAAAAGTAAGACAAAAAGACAAAACAAGGGGGCGCCTGGGTGGCTCAGTGGGTTTAGCCGCTGCCTTCGGCTCAGGTCATGATCCCAGGTCCTGGGTTCAAGCCCCACATCGGGCTTTCTGCTCAGCAGGGAGCCTGCTTCCTCCTCTCTCTCTGCCTACTTGTGATTTCTCTCTATCAAATAAATAAACAAAATCTTTAAAAAATAATAAAAAAAAAAAGACAAAACAAGGAAAAAAAGCTTTTTGTCTAGCACGAATTCCGAGCGGGAAACCTAGATGTCTAAACCCTAACTTTGCTTAAAGACAAGCAATTATTCAACTGTAAAAAAAAAAATCCAGTACCTTCCATTATACTACTAAAAAAACCAGGGGAAAGCGCGAACGCAGTCCCCCACTACCACAAATTATGCAGTCGAGTTTCCCACATTTGGGGAAATCGCAGGGGTCAGCACATCCGGAGTGCAATGGATAAGCCTCGCCCTGGGAAAACCACCTTCGTGATCATGGTATCTCCCCTGCCAGGTAAGTATGAGTTGCTCCCCGCGCCCACCACACACCCTCGCGCCCCACCCGCTCCTTACACACGGTCACTTCCCTCCCGCCGCCCCCGCGACCCCCGCCCCCCGCACCACCCCCGCCGCCCCCTCGCCCACCCGCGCAACCACCGCGGGCGCCTTCGTCGGGCCCCACGCGGGACCGGCGGGCTCGGGCGGGGCGGGCCCGGCAGCCTCTGCGCGCCTGCTCCTCTGCATACGCCACGCCCTTGTCGTGACGTCCCTGAGCCCTGTCGCCTGCTCTGGGACACCAGGTGTCTGCCGAGACCGCGAATGCCTGAGGGGCAGGGGGCGCGGGGGGGGAGGGGGGACGGCGAGGGTGTCAGGACCTGGGAGACCAGAGAAGACGGGTCCCGGGGCGCCCAGAAGTTGAAGGCTCCACGGGGAATGGTTAAGGCTCGGGCTTGGCCTCACCTTCCTCTCAGCAAAAATTATACGCAATAGCAACGGAGAGTCAACTAAACGTTAAATACGAAGATGGGAGTTTTGTCACCAATTTAACATAAAATTATTTTAACCCCCATTATGACCTTTCAGATTACGTGGTAACCTAATCTTGCAACAGTGAAATAACATTCGAACAGAAAGCATCAGGGCAAGGAGTCCATTCGCAGAGTAGATGCATGGACTGGGGACAGGTGTTGAATAGTCTCTGAAAACCAAAGGAAAAAAAATGTCACATTTCCATCCTGCAGGGTGAGCTTACCTCTTTCAGGCTGTCTAGATTTACCTTTTCTTCTTCTATACAAGGAGATCCTATCTGGATATCAAGTGTAAATATCCTTTCCAGATATGACCAAAATGATTGAACTGTTGTATGTCCTTG